GGTTCGAGTCCCGCCAGAGGCATTTTATTACACAATTTCTTTATTCATTTATTTACAGGACTACATTCGTTGAGAGCTATGCTACACGATGTATTTATTAAGTCCTTTATTCGAACACTGTATTTACCTTTCTTTGATGATTTATATATATATATATATATATATATATATATATATATATTATATACAAAATGATAGTACTGATAACGTGAAGCACATAGAGGGCTTATCGTACTGTGCTATATAGCCTACCATTACTACTATAATAGGCTATTAGAATATTAAAATATTTAGGCCACAAAGAAATTAGATTAAAAATAATGTTTCCATATTATCGATGTATTTGATATATACAGTATTTTATGAATTATTGCTCTGCCCGCAGTTGCTTGTGCGTTGCATTTTCACGATGGACAAATAATTTCTTGGCACAAAATAAGAAAATTTAAGAAGTCTGAAATCCATGGATACACTTCTCTAGTTGATTGAAGGATGATTAAATGTTGACCTTGGCATGTACGTCGCATGAGCGGCACACGCGCTTAGCCAGTGTAACCAACAATGAGGATCAGGTAAACTTCGTTTTCAAAACACAAACATGGGGATTCCCTGAGTAACAAAACGCCCTCAACATTTCGCGCGCTGAGTTCCTCGCGATTGACACATACTTCACGCTTTGACTCCGCCCTTGATGTCAATATTACACTCTTAATAGTAATCCGCGCCACGTAACATTATTATTTATTTTGTTTATAGTTTTTCAACGTTGGTTAGTTGATACTATATTTGTAAGATTACATATTTTAAATTGTACTATGTTGTAGATGTTTAATTATAATTTTAGAAAATGTATTTAAATAATATGTAGCCCAATTGATAGTTCTGCGGATCAATTGAACTAGGCGGTAAATTGGCTTGACTTTTCCCGCCGTTTTTACAGGGGCTTTAATTTGCGTAAACAACACCGAGTAGACTGACGCGCGGTCGCCGTATTTGAATATTGCTAAAAAATATATCGAAAAAATACCAAAAAATATGGCGCCGCCCAGTGATGAAGACGGGAAAATACGGAATCGTTTTGATGAATTATGTCGGGATTTAAATTTGGAAAAATCAACTATCGATGAAGCATGGGAGGCTTACCAAAGGATAAGTTTAAACTACACTTTGGAGGTAAGTTTCTGGTTTTATCGTCGAAGTGTTGGCTTAGGCCCAGCTTCCTGCCTGATGATATTAAGGCTAGCCCTGTTCCATTTTGAAGTCTAGGCCTATGTTTATCCTCAATATTTAGTATCGTAAATAAAATATTTTTCTAACCTAGGCTTATTTAAAAATTCTCAAGCATAGATGCTTATTATATCACAATATAATTTGAATTAGGCCTATAACTCAAATACTGTATTGAAGTATAAATTTTAATTTCACACACAAGGGTGACGATCTTCACTGGCTAGCTTGTGCGCTGTATGTGTCATGTCGAAAGACTGTTATTCCGACTGTTGGTGGACGAGAAATGATGGAAGGAAATTGCGTTTCTCTTACAAGATTATTAAGATCTTCAAAATTAAGGTAACACTAATTACGAAATAAATCTGTGAGTTTATGTGAGTGTGATGTGCGATGGAAATAGTCACCATGCACTTGGCCTTTTAAATTTTAAATGGCAAAGGTTGGGAACGAGAGGGCGTCGACCAAGATTGGTCTTGCGAGACTAAAGTATCATTTTGCTGTTTTCATAATTTAAATGTTTACGTAAGTTAAAAGCTTGTATTTCTTAATTTTATTAGTTATCATAATTGCATTCCAAAATTTTATTCAGATTGACTCCATGCATGTAACCCTGATGTAGCAAAGCATATGAATTTCAATATGTCATTGTGTATAATATTAATATTATTAATTCATAATTAATAAATTTCAATATTTTGGTGTAGGCCCTATGTATCCTTCATATCTATAATATAGCTTAGGCTACGAGAATGAAAGTTGTAGGTTTGCGTCCGAAAAATTTTGAAAACACATAAGGGAATTTTTCCTTTTTCATTATTCATTATTTTTTTTATGAATGCTGTCCACAAGCCGCAGCATTGGTAATTTTACATTTATTCCCAAGAAACAATGCTTACAGTCATAAATGTACACTAGCCTATAAAACAGATCCTTTTCTACATTTAAGACCTCTTTAAACATACAAGATTTCCTATTGGTCAGAAAGATCGATTTGACCCGTAAATGACCTCAGCAGTGATCGGCTTTTTAGGCATGCGGGCGGTGGACGCAAACCTACAACTTTCATTCCTGTGGCCTTACACCAAATTATCGTAGTTATGAAGAATGATTTTTGTTAGTACCCGTGTGAAGAATCTGAACAAAAATAATCATGTCTATTATTTTATACCTGTTGTTATTTGTTTGTTCTTGAATATTTGTTACTGCAGCAAAGAATAAAAATCTTAATTGATAATCTCCACAACAACCTACTACATATTCACATGAATCAACATTGTTACATTGGACTGATGCTTTAATAGTTTTGATTCATTTATTTATTTCATTATTTTTAATATTGATTGGTCGAAACTATGTCCTCCTCCATGGTCTAAGTGAATATAATTTAATTTAAAATTATAAGGAATGTCAAAGTTCCCTTGTAATGCATGTTGATTCTGATTATTTTGTAATTTATTTTTTATTAAAATCCATGCTAAATGAATAAAAAATAAATTATTTTCTTAAATATTTGCAATTTGTATTCCTATTTATTGAATCAGATCAGGCATTGCCCAAAATAGATCGCAAAATTGTCACAATCTGTCCATGACATTTATGGGGTCATCCATTATTTTCCTAATTTTCAAGTGAGAACAGAGAAGTCATGTGACTCCTCCTCCCCCTCCCCTACTTGAGTACAATTATTAAAATGTTGATTGTTGTTAATTTTAGATCGTTATTTTATTTTACTCCTCCCTAAAAAATATGTTTTGTACTCTTGTAAAAGTAAGAAGTGGATCACACTTTATACTGCGTTCACTGCGTCTTAGGGCGCTTGTGAGCGGACGATCGGCTTCCGAGCCGGGCTTTCATGTGAACAACCTCTCAAGAGCGGTTTTTGTCGTGGTTGACCCACAACAAACTGCTCTCGATCCATGTGAACAGCCGCTTGCAAGTGGGTTGCCAGTAAGCTGTGACCTCTTTTGTGTGAATGCCAATCAGATACAAGCATCTCTACAGGGTCAAAGTAGTTAGCTTGTTTGCGCAAATATTCGTAGTTACGGTAAGAACGCTATTTTCACAATCGTTGTGGGTTTGGCTGTTGTATGTTATTTTTCATTTAAATAATTCTAAATATCCTCCATGTCAACTTCAACTGGATCTGGCACTCGGGCTGTTGGACTGAGGAAGAAATTAGTGACTCGATAGAGATTTAAGCAGAACCCCAGACTAGAATGTTAGTGGAAGACAAGAAATCAAAGAACAAGACAAAAATACATGAGAAAATCGCAGCTAGGCTAGATTTTCGTTTGTGCCAGGTAACTCGCCGACGATGGCACGGCAAATCCAAACAAAGTTGCAGGACCTAGGAAAACGGTACAAATAAATAAATGATTAAATCGGAATCTTGGGCCCCAAACTGGCCGGTTTACCACAGAATTGAGAACATTGGCGATTGCCCAAAAATGTCAGGTGGGCATGTTGGATAATCATCGATGCCACCTCCACCCAGGCCTAGGATCACAAATCGTAGGCCTACAGGTAGCATATCTACAACCAATTGGGGATGTGATGTAAATTTATTTCCGTTCGCCTTGAAAGCGGCAGCTAACGTAAAACACAATCTTGCTCTTGACCCAGTGCCTCAACCGCTCGCGATCGATGGAGACATGTGAACTTGATTATTAAAGATGTTTACTAATTTGGCCAAACTTTTTGTCTTCATTGAGGAACATGTCAAGCATAAGTACCTTTGTTTACCAGGAGGTGAAGGTTATCATAACATTGTAATTGTTTTTCATTGAATTTTCTGGTTTTGTCAAGGTCATTAATAATTTAGCTAGTGTGATCATTAAGTAGAGCTGCTATAGCATTACAAGTTATGTATTTTTCTATATTGATAAAGTATGTAATTGTAAACCCAAGAATGGATATCATATTTTTGAGTACAGAGCTGTATAGAAAGCTGGGGCCATGCTGTGTTTATATTAGTACACAATGCTGGGCTTTCATTCTTATGCAAATTTACAGGCAAGAAAATCATTATAGAGCAATCCATACATTTCTCCCCATGTTAATACAAAATTCATTTGCCTGTTAACATTCACACCATAATATATTCTCGTTTTAACTTTCCGATCCACTCAAGAAGCGTTTTTCATATAGCATAAAAACGTAGGCCTTCCTAGTCTGCTGATCACCATTTTGATAATCGTCCACCCTCATGGTTTTTCAAACTGTACCTTTACTTTTATTGAATACAAAACTAGTACCCTTGCTGCTTTTATTATTCCATCTTATTATTGTACATGTACCCTATACTGAACTTATTGATATATTATTTTCATAAAGCATATGATGCCATTACGAGTCTGAAGCAAGTCATACTAAAAGAGATCCAAATAAGCATGCATTAACCATTTTCCTTTTTGTTTGTTATTTTTAGTGTTATCCAGTTTTTCAACAAGATGAAGAACTGGTCGGACATGGCCAACTTACCTCAGAAATTCCGCGACAAAGTGGACCGGCTTGAGCGCAACTTCAACGTATCAGGTGTAATATTTAAGAAATACCAACCAATATTCATTGAGATTTTCAAGGACCCAGCTCTGGAACAGCCTAGAGCTCCCCGTGGGCGAAAACAAAGGTGCGTAGCTAAAAAACAGCATTGTTTATCTGGTTTGAAATACAATAGTTTTAGAGTGGTTTTTATATTTAAATGTATAGAAAGGTCATCATGTCATGATTTGACACCTAGGAACCAATTGCAGCATCAAAGAAATGATGATTTTTACATTCAGACATTTATGATGATGTATTCTGGCTCTGATATGTGTCGGTCTGACGTACATGGCCGTCGTGCAGACTGCATTTTAATTGTCATTTTTCATGAGAATGATTAACAATTCATATGAGTGTCTGGGTTTTTGATTTATGTTATTTATTATTTTTTATTGTCTGTACATGTACCCTGATTACAGTACTGTATGAACGCAAATTTCATACGTTAAGTGTTATTCAACTTATACTAGGGATATATTTAAAGCAACCGAGCCAATTATAGAATAGAGAGATCCTGTAATGATGTTGACATTTTTATTTTAGAAAGTATGAAAAAATGAATTTAGTTTTCACTAAAATTAACCAAGTGACCATATAATATTTTCCCCTTTGGAAAATATAACCAACATAAACATTTTAATTATTATTCTTTTCTCTTAAAATATCGGTTTTCACTTTTGTCTTCTAATTTTTGTGTTAACTTTTCGTCATTGGTAAATATTCTAATAGTTCATGATTTACTATGTGTACTGTACAGTCTAGAACTGTCTATCAAAAGGACGTTGTAAATTTTTCAAATAATAAATTTATGAATTGATAAGCGTATTGGAGCAGAGACCATGCATGATTGGGCTTCCTTTCTTATAAGCACACAGACTGGAAGTGTTAGTTGCCAAGGCAAGTAAAAAAATGATTAGTATTAGTATATTGTAATATCAAACATTCCCAACAATCAATATTATTCATTAGAATCTTTGTGTTGCACAATTTTATTTTTTAGGAACATAGGCATCAATGATGTTGTAGGGTTTTATAATTATAGCTGACAGCGATATAAAATTGTACTCTCATACTTTATTCGTCCACATAAATACCTACAGAAATTTTTTGTGCACCGGCAAAGTAAATATAATGAAAAACCCCAAAAACTTACTTATACTTATTGTTAATTATTATTCTGATTATTAATATATATAGTCATAACATGTATGGTATAATTACCGTCCCCGTTACTGTATATTAAATGATGATCATTATCTTTTAAATCATTATTGCTATTGCCTATTGTACAGTACCTCGTCTGGATTATAAATCTTCTCTATTAAATAAATATTTTAAATGCCACCAAGATTTAAGATACATTAGATACATTGTTTAGCCTTGATTACGAAAATCATTGGTAGATTTTAGACTGGAAGATATGGTTATGAAATCGAACCCTTAACCTCCAGAAATAACCTGGTACCGTACCACTTGACCAGTAAGCTTGATGACATTTCAGTAGCAAATTTGATACATTGATTGTAATAAACTTAATTTGAGAATAATTAGTGGTAATGATGGTTGATGGAAATACTTTAAATTGCTTGAAACAATAATAATTCTTCGAAGAAATAACTTGCAATGCATACTGGCAATAATAATAATCCATGTAAACACATTAGCAGCTTCTGTAAAATGTAGATCAGAAAAAGTGTTTTCACTTTAAAATGAAGACGAACTCTTCCCTGGAAATAACTATTCTCAGAAGAGAATATTTGAACTTTTCTTCTTCAGCGAAGAAATGTCAATCCGATTACTGTATGTGATCATAAATCTCTCTGTAGCTAATTTGGTATGTTTTTAATGTGGGCTCTACATACTGTAATTTACAATAGCAAAGCATTAAAAAGGTTGGCTCTACTGTACTTGGAACAAATTATTCTTGCTTTTTTTAATATCTTAAAGGCTTAGAAGCAGTATTAAGTCTTGGAACCACAAATGAAATATAAGGGCTTTAAATTAGAATAATCTGACAGACAGGCCTGGAAAAATATTTTTGTGCCTCCGACCATAAAAATTATCTTGATCAATTGCCTCAAGAACCAAATGTTATCTTTACACTATTAGAGAGGTTTTGCACGCAAACGAATATGTGTACGCATACGTTTAGCTATCCGTAATGGTTCGTAGCCATTCTGTGTTTTTTGCAATCACAGCGCAATTCAATCTTAGCCAAGGCCTAGGGCCTTAGCTTAGGCCTACTAGTACTATATTCTGTTCTCTTCTCTCATCATGCTTCTCAAAGTTTTATTAGTATATGTAAGGTTTTGGAAATTGAAATTGAAAATTGTAGCCGAAAAATACTTCCTTTGTTGCCCAGAAGTGTTAGTTATTTTATGATAGGCCCTATTATTTATGACCCAAATGTGTCTGGCTACAATTAGGCCTAGGCTACACAAAATCCCAACACCACCAAGGTCAAAGGACCGCTTGCAAAATGAGAGTACGCATCCTATCATAATTTGCTGTCTTCAAATGCCACAAGAATGGCATGTACATATTCAAAGATACATTTGTTTTTTTATACTTACGTAAAATGTGAAAAAAAAATGAAGATCCTGAAATCCAAAATTTCCTCATGTGTTTTTCACGTACATGTAGTGAGCGACATATGCGTGTCGTCAAAATGCATAGCGGATAGCAGCCGGCGTATGACGTCAAAATGATGATGTATTCATCACACTAACTGTACGTGTTCGCGTGCGAAACCTCCCTGTTATAGTGAATGAGTAGTCCATTTAGTGGTTTGGAGCAAGCAAAAATATTAAATTTAAGTATGCATTAAATTGTGTGTTGAGAAAAAAAAAAAAATTTTTTTTTTCTAAAATGCCCCATGGGTTAAATGTCAATGCCTTCGTCCGCCAGTCGCGCACTTTTTCCAGCACTGCTGACTGATAACAATTGCCTAGATTGACTATAAATTTTAATTATTTAATTGTTTGTATTCAGACTCGGTTTATTTTAGTAAACCTCATTTCAAAGCTTTCTCACAGTAAAATATACGGTAGTTACATTCAACATAGGTAAACATTAATAAATCTAAAAAATCAGGACGCTGCACTTTCGTTTAACAAAGTGCTTTCTACATGTTCTCGTGCCATTTGTTTCTGTTTTAGGCCGGATGTAATTATCGACATAATTACATTTCTATTTTAAAATATAGTTCTTGCAATTAAAATATATTTGAATCATAGTCCGTTTCTGTAAATATTCTTAAATTTAAATAAATTAGACACAAGTTGAAAGGTTGCAAAAATATTCCATCAGCAATTCATCGTGACACGATCATGACCCTGCAGCTATTAGTTTCCACCTGGTGGCGTCTTGCCAGTGTTGCATGCATGTGCTAATGCTCTGCCATAAATGGAATTGATGTTTGCAATTTGAACCAGGGTATTTAAAATACCCTGGGTTTTTGTTTACAGGTCATTGCTTATAATAGACACCAACTAGGAATTCGCACCTCTTATGAGCTTTGATCATTTGGATTCAAATTATAATACAATACAAATTGGCACTTTCTGTTCATAGGAAAATCAAGCACAAAATCGATGTAGTGACTTTTGATAGAGGGTTGAAAACTGGAGTGAGCATACAGTCACAGTATGCAGTTAAAACTAAATGAAAAATAACATTTTTACCAAGTGGCATTTTACCTCAAATAATTTAATATACACTGTAAGATCTTTTACAGTAAAATGTTTTTTTCAGATAATAAGTTTGAAATTAAAATACAGTACCCTGGATAAGAGCTTTCTACTAATTTCCCAGAGTACATTGGGACCTGAACATTTGGGGTGGTATCAGGGTTCGGTCTCCACTTAGAGCGTTAGGTTTATGGTAAAAGATTGACGATTTTTGAAAAAGTGGTCTCTCTTGGATTTAGAGGGATGTCGAATTGGGAGGATGCACTGTATATTCAGCCCTGATCTTTATACCCCAAATATTGCTCTCCATAATTACATAGAATAATGAGTATGGTGGAAAATGACAGACATCAGGCCATAAATTGATTACATAGAGATTTGTTCATTTACCGTATTTCCTAGCCATGTCGTAATTTATATTGCACTCTAGCTTTTACTTGCACAGTATTTGTATATGTTACATGTTCAACAAGAATGGGTTGATGCCCCATGAACTTATGTACAGTAGTAGCATTAGTTTGTTGAAAGTTGTTGCCAGGCATTGTTATGTTGTTGAGTGCTCCAGTATTCAATTTCATTAGCACATCAAATAGAATGTTATTCTAAAGCTGGACACTCGTCAATGGTCTTACAGCCGTCGTTCAACTAATCCAACTCCACACCCCCCGTAAGTGATAGATAATGCAATGCCATCTACTGATTTTTGGTGACTGTCTGAACGAAGTGTCTTTCAAAACGATACATTGCATCGGCCGACGACTGTCGGACACCGCGAGTGCCCTGCCTTAAGCAAACTACTTATTTTCGCATACATGACCTACATCTCTCTTTGGTAGAATTTTCAGTACTGTTGTCTGGTCCAATTAAGCTCCTCTTTTATCTTCCAACAATTTGTTGGTCGTTTGTACACATTGAAAAAACTTAATTCTAAAATGTGAATTGTTTTTCTCCCAACAGAAGACTAAACTGCTCTGTGACAGATATATTTCGTTTCTGTTGGACTTTGTTTGTGCAAGTTAAAGGTAAGAGAACTTGTTATTGTTTAATACCATAACAAATTTTTTTTGGCATACATTAGGCAACTGCTTTGAAAATGAAGTAACAGGGTCTTGAGCCTGGGATGATAGGTGCTATTAACAGAAAAATATTGGCATTCCCACCCAGGGCTGCAAAAAGTGCATGACCGTGTGACTGCAGTTGGAGGCATCATGAATGTCTCAAAGACATTTTGGGGGAAAAGAAACCAAAAAAAAGAGACTTGTTATTATGGTCGTAGACACAAATATTTTTTTTTTCCAGGCCTGCCCCCACCCTTCATTATTTGTAATTTAAATTCAGCCCACAGCTAAGAGTATTTTCTGTCCAAAAAAATCCCATAAGGGGACAAGGTAACGATATTACAAAAACATTCTTGATGAGCTTACTAGTCTCGTGGTGATTAAACTTTACCGCTGCTGTCAAACGTGATAGTAACTTTTGAGTTTGCCTCGCGACGATTCCTTCCTGTACAACAATGTTCCCATTGTGCATTACGATTGAGTTCAAACATTCAAGGTGTTGCCCTGGGACTTTAGGCAATAACAATGCCATCTCCACTATCGTGTTGTTTATCATGGTGATGAGGGGTACAGACAACAAAATTATTTGTATAATGTTCAGATTATTACTTCCTCTAAAATAAAAACTAGAACAGAACTGGACGTAGTGCGGTGTTACTGTAAGCAACTTTTATTGTCAATTTATTTCTTTCTTTTTTAATCAGTGTCCCCTCCCGTAGATTAAGAACAAAACCTACATTTTATGTTCCTTTTGGGAGAGTTAACGCATGCCAAAATGGATTATTTTTAGATTAAGTAGAGCTTATAATTCTCTTTTAGAAATTGATAATGATTTAGATATCTTTTAAAATTCCTGTGTAAATTCAGGAAGAAAGTTTTAAGTACATTATAATGTTTTTCTCTGTCTTGTTATACAATTTAAGATTTTGTATTGATTACTTCGTGTAGGCCTTTCGTTTATTTCTTCTTCTTGTTGATTTTATTTTTGACTCCTGTAAGTGCCGAATCTCATTTGCTGTTGGAAGTATTGAAATTTAAAAAAGAAAGTTTTAAAATTTTAAATATTATGTAAAGTTGTTGATTCGAATAATGTTTGTAGAGCTCTGCAATTTTTTTTTTTTAAATAATAGGAGATCCTACATCATCATGGAACAGGTAACAATCATAATAAAAAAAAAATTATTACAGTTAAATTAGATTACTGTATAACAGCATCCAATCATAAATTTGTTATTTTTTTCTCAAATGAGAGAAAATGAATATGAGGTACAGTAGAACCTCGTTTTTACGTACCCCAGTTATACGAACCCTCGGTTTTATGTACGCCTCGTATCGACGATGACGTCATAAAAATCCCCGAAAATATTCAAAACAAACAGCCCTTTTCAGAGCAACCATAAGTAAAAAGACTATAACAATAAACAAACCATAATGCAATGTATTTTCATTAAACAGCAACGCTGATTGAGTCTAATATCGGGTTGTTATAATCTAAAACCATGTGAACTGAGTGAGATGAACAACTACCGATGGTGCTCAAAATAATTGCTTTCCTCCTTAGCTTCGTGTGGCAAAATCGTCTGGTCGAATTTTCTACACGAAGCTGAGTAGACATAGTTTCGTACACGAACGTTAATTGGTTGGCTCGCCCAGTGCATAGCACATGGTTGCTGTTCACATACACGAACGCTAATTGGTTGGCTTGCCCAGTGCAGCGCACATGGTTTTAGCAGGGAGTTGTTAAAACAACTCCCTGGTTTTAGTTTGTCTCAACAGGCCTAAACAACACCACAGCTCTGTTGTTTAGAATAGGCATGAAGGGGAACTCTCAAGTTATACCTTTGTCATATAGGTAATCTTACAATATTTTCATGTTCTTTAGTTAAATAAAAGATATAAAGTGATGAATTAATACAACTAGACACATGGTTTTATTTGAACACTTTATTATGACATCATAAATTGATGAATAAAAACACTAAACAAATGGTTTTATTTGTAGGCCTAGAGGTTAGGGCTAGCCTAGGTAACATCGTTCGTTTGTTCATACATACGTTTATTGAGCGTTACGTACGTACAGTATTAGGTCAAAGGTTACCATAAATTTAACCCAACCTCTATTTTACGAATCCCCCGATTTACGTACGCCCTGGTCCCTTACCGTACGTAAAATCGAGGTCCTACTACAGTATACTGTAAAAATATAAAATGAATACTTTCTATTGCATCACCTATAAGGCACACAGTTGAGAGGGGAAAACAATATGAAATAGTAATTATTAATATGAAAATTAAGATACGAAGTGTTTATCACAAAATATATTTTATGTACAGTAGTACAAAAAACCATTTGGTGAGCTTGGACTGAACCACTCCCCAAAGGTGCACCGTATTGAAGATTAAGAGATGAAAACTCAAGTGATGTGGTCAGGTACGGAAGTTATCTCTCCCTAGATCAATTTGTCTATCGCACCACAGCTGGAAAAGTAAGAGTATTGTTTCCGCTGATGCGTGTCAGCGAGCTTGTACTCCTGCTGACGTGCAACATCATAGTTTTATCGGAAAACGTGCCTCAAATTTTTTTTATTTGTTTTATATCCAAGTTTATGACCCTGATGGTTTGTGCAACTTTTGACTTCCTACAAAACTGCCAATCATCTGATGAATGCTACTATACTTGACACATTAGTTACCTGAACATCCAATTACTGTAGGTCACAAATAGTTTGTTGACCCAGTCCCTATGACAAAAGGTTTTAATTTTTTGGCTGTAATACTGTATACTTTTCAATACTATATATAAATATATAAATGAACAATTAATATATTTGTTACTATCCACCTATATGGACTATATAATTTATTTACATTTAAAAATGTATGTGATCTCCCCCCAACCCCCAAAAAAAAAAAAAAATAAGTAGGGAGATAGGCTATGACTAATAAAATGATAAAAACATTTTGTAATCTGCTCAACAATAGTATTGCTATCGGACTGCACTATGATGACCAACCTTATCAGTGTGTACTTATCATCGGAAGCTCATGAATTATTCATAAGATACTTAGAAGAATTGTACTGTGGTTGGTTGACTGGGTATCCCATTGTGATAGTCTATTACTGTTCGTTTAGGCAGGATTGAATCAGATTGGCAGGTCTTGTCTGGAAGAATTTATAACAAGCTTAGGCAAGTCCCTCCTATTTGTTTGACACGTGGGGATCTAACCAGCGTTGGTTTGAGAATTCTTGGGACCCTTCCAATATATTAATTGAAATGATCCTTCTTGTGTCAGGCAGAATAAATTTTCTTTTCTGAAGGCCCAAGTTCAGTACACTGTAGAATAGAGGGAAAGTAAGTTAAGTTTTTTATTCATTTATGTAATTATATTTCAGTTAAGAATTAAAAGAAACTATCTAATGATTTGACAGTTGTGTGTTACTTATGATACTATCCATAAACATTGTAATTACAAAATAGGATGATGTTAATTAGATTTCAGTTATGTAGCCTTCCTTGCTGAGGGCTTTATAATTATCAGTTTAATTCTTTTCCAAAATATATAAATCAGTGGATTGACATATAGTGTATAATGCATGCCATAAATATAAATAATAATACCATAATAATGATAGTGGCGGGTCTAGAAATTTGTGATAAAGGAAGCCCATGGGTGGGGGAATTTCACAGATGGAGAGCCCAAATTACTTAAGTCCCACTGTGGTTAACGTTGGGGAAATTTTATATAGCACTTCTAAATGACCGGAAACGGCACTCACAAACTTACAGTACAGTCGTGAAATATCGCTTCGTATCTGCGCGTAACCACTCGTAGCCTGCTCGTAGGTACCGTTTGGAACGTAGCTACGAACCACT